ACCTACTTGGTTACAGTGCCAAGAAATTGGGTATGCCTGTCTTGCAAGTAAGACTACTACCATTTTTTTCTATTTTATTCCCCTCTAGTTGATGAGGGTTCCCTGTCATACAGAAAGAGAAATAATTTTTATATAAGCCTTTCACTGCCTTACAAGCATTCCTCAATGTGATGTTTCTTGTCAAAAGATGGAAATAGAACAACTGGAATGATACCGTATCCATGTTCATGCGTTTTGGTAGTGTTATTCCACTATCACCAAATCTCCAGTCTCAGCAGTAGGTTCTTTTATCACAACTTTTCCCCCTGTAGGAGTATCCTTTCTATGAAATTGCCACTTTATGCATGTTCTGGCCAATTCACTAATTATTTTCTGATCATTAAGATGTGTGCATAGTACATACTCATTTGCATGCAAATGTGTGTTTTGTGATTGAATAACCTTTTTCTAGCAAAAAAACTAAAAAACTCTTTCCACACCTTTGTAGGTTCTGCCTTTTCTTCTGTTTTTATTTTATTTTCTGCTTACTCATGCAGTATTCATGAATAGATGTATGTCGTGCTTATGAATATAGGTGCACACCTCAACTCAGGAAACAAAGTATAGGAAGGTGATTAGAAAAGTTTCATTTTACTATTCTGCAACATCTAGGTTTATTTCATATGTTTTATAATATCATCGTGCATTCTGTATTGGTATAGCCTTTATGATGAACTGAGCCTGCCTCTGGTGTACTCACTATCCTTTAGTATCCTTGATATTAGGTCAAGTGATTTTCTGTAGATAATTGTTGTTACCTTTGGCTTCTAGTGTTACCGAATACATCATATTCTTCTCTTTCTGATATTTCCATTTCTTTTCCAGCACCCTAGTTTCAAGTATTCTATATGTAAGATCTTTGCCAGTAACAAAGTTCCCTTTCCATTTTATGAACATCACTAACCAGTGCTATGGTTGCTTCTCAAAAGTGCTCTCCTTTTTTTTGTTCAGCTTATGTTAATGATGATTTATTTTGAATACTGCTTATATTGACGCTAATTTATAGATACACTTTTTCCGTCCTTATGCCCAATCATTTTTTCCCCTAATATGTAGCTTATCTAAATAATTCAACTAAGCAGGTGAATAGTTCTGGAGTTATGCCAATAATATTTTCTACATCATCATTAGCTCTTCCTGGTACTATAGCACGCTTCACCGGTTTAGCTGCATTGAAGAACGCTGCAGTGGCTTTAAATCCAGGGGGTAAGAAGCTGCAATTTTTAGTGGTAATAGGTGTTGGAGTTGGACATAAAAGTTGAAAAGAATAACAACTATGTATTGGCTTATATACTTATACACTATCTTCATTTCAACCTGCATGATTGAGCTTGAAAACCTGCCACATTTTTTCCATTATTCACCTGTATATACATCTAGTGCATCATCAAACATATTTTATCGTCAAAGTCTTCTGCTTTGAATTTGACAATCTTCTTGATAATTAACTACAGATTTCTTATTCGTTGTCAATATTAAGTGATGACTGGACTTGGGCTTTTAGTTATTTTGCTTTTTGGTTTTGGTTTTATTATGGTTATCTAGAGATCCTATGGAGTTTTGAGATGAAATTAGATTTTTTGTCATTTAAATTATCATTAATTTCCTTGGGGAAGTTGTAACGATAGTATCGATTACAGATGTAGGTTAATAAATTGAATGACAGAAGAGGAATAGTTCCATCGTCTAATTAGCACTTATATTCCATTTTTAGCATTTGGAACATCTGTTATACTAAATGTTTCCAGTTAACTTTTTGTAGGTTCTTTCTATCTCCCCACCAACATCCTTTTAATAGCCTTCTTCAACTACTACTACACTTTCCTACAGTTGGATCCTGACGATGTAAGTGAACAGTTGAAGCGCCAAGGTGCATCAATACCACTTGTACGACCGGGTAAAAGTACGGCTGCATTTCTTAAGACAGTAAGTTTCTTCTTTGTCAAAGAAATATGTGGCTGATTATTTGCATTACTACCATGGATGTGTTTAATCAGTCAGTTTGATGCTCAATTAGCCATAAAACTCTTTTGTAGAGTTAATTGTGATGGGTGCATAAATCGGCATGTTTCCTTGGTTTGTCAAGTAGCATCGAATTTAATAAGTAGCGAATTGCCATCGAACAATCAACCTGTGATGCTAAGAGTGAATATTAATAGCATCTTCCTGTCTTAAGTGTCCATTTTGTTGCCAACTGTATCAAGTTTGAAAAGGTTATTATGAATGACTCATGCAGCTTTCTTTATATTGGTTTTACTTTTTCAGAGATTGGTTATGATTTCCAAATAGAAGTATCCAGTATTAAGTTATCGCTTAAATGTCTTAGCTATTTCCCTTCGTGAGTTTTCTTGAATGTCCAACGAGAATAGATTGGAGTCGGTTCTGTTGACCCTTGAAATTACAAAGCCTACGTGGCGTGCAATGCTGAGTAATTATGAGCTAACTACGTAATTCGTGTGAATGAGAGCGTGCCAACTCTCAGCTGAGCTCAGTCGCACAAGTAGAATAGATGTGGCGGTGGTGGTGTTGAATGCAACTGTACTCGAGCGATTATGGTAGAGGAACACATTTCGACCTTGGGTTCTAGAACCTAAAGACAAGGTTTCCTAGATCATTGTGAAGCTTAGGATGGCCTACATCATCTTCGGTCACCTCAACTATATTCGTGAAAATATAGGTGCGCCAAATCGGTATAAGGCTGTAAGGACACAAGTATTCAAAAGAGATGAGCGTTTTTATGGTGAACGTAGTTCGGCCGTCTAAATGCTGAATTGCGAAAGTGCACCGGAGAGTAACCAATCATAGAACACTGCACTTCGCTGGGAAGCTGATGAAGTGACCTCTTTCGATGCAAAAAGTTCGAAACTCTACCAGCCGAGACTTGGATAGATAACCAACTAACTAGAAGCTGTGCTGTTCACTTGTCCGAACTGAAAGTGCTCCTAAAGCGCCTAGTTCTATGACTCTAGTGCTATTCACTTATTTGAACTAAAGATGTCCCCGGTTGCAAACACAATGTTGTTCACTTATCCAAACTGAAGATGTATTGGCAGGAGGGTTAGGATAGTTAGTGTTTTTCCTAGGGATGTGAGAAGGGGCTCTCTACGTTGCAAAACCTCTTGTATTTATAGGGATGAATTCCGTGATGGCCAAGTCTACCGGATGACATAATTATGATAATATTCTGATTCTTCGGCATATTTACTGAATATACACATAATTATTCCGGGTTGAAATATTCTGATTCTTCGGCATATTTACTGAATATACACATAATTATTCCGGGTTGAAACTCTATTGCCTCCAAGTCTCGTCATCTTCGACCAGGACTTTGAGGCTAGATTGATCATGTGATTGATTCGAACCTTTATCTGGAAACAAATCATGATCCTCAATATTTTTCTCATACAACAACTTAGAGTATATGGACCGAGTGCGTGCTGGGTCCAAACAGGTCCATATTGCCAAAAATAAAAAAACTAAATGAGGTTGATTGGTGCATCTGTTTTTCCCCTTTCCAGTAACTTTAATTTATGTCTTGAGCGGTGAGGATGTGGAAAAAAAAAAGCTTAATTTCAACAGACGGAACTTAAGATATTTGGGGTTACCTCTCTCTTATTTAGTATAATAAAGACATCTGATACTATGCATTTGTTTTTATTCACGGTAATGCCAACTTGTATATTCATGGCTTTCAAGGTTGATTCACAAAGCATTTTTATATGCATCATGCTGATCCAGTGAACTTCCTTTTACTTTTATTGGGTTGCAATCCAACTTTCCATTGAAGAGTATTGCAAAATAGTATATTGCTTCCAAGTTCTTTCCATTATATCGCTTTTTTCCGTATATGCACGGTATTCTTGATATTCATTAGACATGGAGTCCTTGATACGTATTTCTGGTTACCCTCTCATATATTTATGACTTCAAGGATTGATTCACAACATAGCATATTGTTTTTAAGTTCTCTCTATCATATTCCATTTTCTTACTTTTTCTTCTTCTGTGGATCTCCGTCAGAAAGCATGAACTTAGTATTAAATGTTAGATCTTTTCGTCTTAAAATTGAAATGAATTATTAATGTCTTTCGATGGTTGGAGGCAGGTTCTAAGTCGAATATCAGTGCTTGGTTCAGCCTTCCTGGCAATCCTGGCTGCTGGTCCTTCAGTAATTGAACAAGTGACGCACCTCACTGCATTTCGTGGATTCGCAGGCACATCTGTTCTCATCCTTGTTGGTTGTGCAACTGACACAGCAAGAAAAGTTGAAGCAGAGATAATATCTCAGAAGTACAAGAACATAGAGTTCTATAACATCGATAAGTATGGCCCGTAATGCATGACAGATTAAAAACTTAGCCTGCTGTACAAAGGATGTGTATGCAAAGGAAACGAGTAGGGACGAGGGGATGTGGTTTGGCATGAATAGAGTTTCATCTGTTAGACATGTACGAGTTGAGATACTAGAGATCGATTGAGGCTTGTACGTATGCTGCACCGCATCCACCAATTTTCTTGTAATAATTGAACAAGACGTTTGGAAATTCAAAGGGAAGCCGAAATGAATTTGTAATGCTCAGGTTCTTACCGTCAAAACTTAAAAGCACGGCTGATTTAGAGGTGGAAAAAAAACCGAAAATTCCAAACCGAATCGAAAAAATCCCGAAACCAAATCGAAAAAATCTTAAACCGAAAATCTCGAAAATTTTGGTACCCAATACCGAATTGAACTGAAATTAAAATATATATATATATATATATGTATTATTTAATTTTAAATATATATTTAGAATTGGAACAGCCATTCGATTTTGTTGAGATTTATTCTCAACTGTTGATTCCAAATAAACCCTCACTCAAAAGTCTCAGACTCTCAGTCACTCTCTCTCGACCTCACGTCACCTCACCCTCCTCGTAGTCCTTGACCTCACCCTCACTCCATCACTCTCTCTCTCGACCTCACCTCACCCTCACTCGGTCACTCTCTCTCATGACCTCACTTCCTCACCCTCCTTGCTGATTTCTCTCGATCTCTCTCCTCCTTATTTGCCGTCTTCGAATCCGGCCACACCCACATCACACAAGTGGATCACCTCTCTCTGGACTGACCTATCACCTCTCTGATCTCTCTCTCTCTCTCTCAACTTCTCATCCCTCACTGTGCACCGATTCTCGATCAAATCAGGTAAATTTTGGAATTAATTTAGGGTTCGAAATCTAGATTAGGGTTTGTGAAATTTGTTCATGTTTTGATTGGATGTTCATGATTCCAGCCCTAATTTAATTTCTATATTTATGTTTACCATTAGGTTAGGGTTTATGAATTTTTTTTCCTATTTAGGAATGCTATTACTGGAATTTGCAAGGTAAAGTTTTCTGGGTTTTTACTTTGTTGCTCCAAAAGGGTCTTAGAAAGTCTAATTCTTTAATACATTTGTGTGGGTTTTGTTCAATTGGTGGGTTGTAAATCTCTTATTGATAACATCTAAATTTTCATTTTTAATCCAAGGGTTTTGCAGCTCCACATTTTGATGTGCTTTCTGCTCTACTTTGTTTATTTTTCATGAAAGTTTTGTATATTTTTCATAATAATAATTTTTGTTGCTTCTTCTGGCTTTGCATCATCTAATTTTTGATTTCAGTAAATGGAAAACCAGAAAGTAAAAAAAGCATGTTTTGATGCTTTTTGCCTTCAAATTTTGGGGCTTTGTAAGGTAAATTTGTTAATTTTTTTCTCGTTTCTAAGATTGTAGTATTTGTATTTGCAGGACCTCTCCTGGAAGGTTTCATATTTGTTAATTTTTTTCTCATTTCTAAGATTGTAGTATTTGTATTTGCAGGACCTCTCCTAGAAGGTTTCATCCTTTGGAATTCTACTTTGGTGGTTTTAGGGTTTTCTCTCTCTCTCTCTCTCTCTCTCTCTCTCTCTCTCTCTCTCTTTCCCTATATATATATATGTATGTATGTATGTATGTATGTTTAGATATATTATTATACAGGGTGTGTGTGTGTGAGACTTATAAAGCTAACTCTTAGTTAAAGGATTTGAGTTTAACTTCTAGGTGAACATAAATTTATAACTCTTTTTCTTTTTATTCAGATTACATCTACCATTTGAGTTCATATTTGGTAATCTGGGTTTTGTTTTCTGAGGTTTTTTTCATTTGGTTAACACTTACAAATTACAAATAGGAATTTTGATTTGAAACCGGTTTGAGTTAGTTATAGTTTGGTTTGTGGAAGATTAGCTTTAAAACCCACCAAAAGATGTAACTGATTAAAAGCCCAAAAGCCGAATATGTCAAGTTTCAACCCAATAGCCCTAAAGCCCAAATTTAAAATCTAATCCCAATTTGTCCCGAAATCCCGAAAATATTTCAGGATTCCCGAAAATTTGGTTTGGCATTGGTCTTGAAATTCCCGTCTTGAAAAATTTCGGTTTGAGATTCGGGATAGTGTTTTCGGTTCGGTATCCCATATCGAAGCAGCCCTAGTTGATTATGGTTTTCTTTATAAAATTTGCCAATTTTAGATAACATTTTAAAAACAAATTATTCAAGATTCCAAATGAAAGAAAGAAAGACTAATGGAGTGAGAAAGGGAAAGACGTCGGTGGTGGACGGTGGTGGTCGATGGTGTGACGTTGGAGAGAAAGGGACCGAAGAAGAGAAACAGATGCAGTGGTCTATGATGCTGATGGTGAGTGACTGGATGCTTGAAAAAAATTGGGCAAACATTTGATTTGACACCCGCCCCCGTTCTTTTTTATTGGCAAAATCTCACTCCCATTCTCGAATTGGGGGGAAATTAAAACGAAAATGAGCACAATCAATATTTTAGATTGTTGAAGTGGCTAGACGAATTCCCCAGTGTTCTATGGGCAATACCTCACTACCAAACGATGAGCAACTAGTGAAGCTCCAATCTCCTTGGCATTCGGTTTAGAGGCGATAATCTCTCCCGACGTCATCGTCTTGAGAATCAGCATTATACTACCAAGTTCAGAGCAGAACAAGAAGAAAATGGCCTCCAGCCTAGACTTAGTAGAGGAAGAACATGTGAAGTTTGCCACCCCATCGCAGTTTACCAACAACTCCTCTCTAGTTATAACAAAAGGGCGAAAATCCTGCAGTTCCAGCCAAGAGATCTAATCCAAGAAAAGTTTTCATCTCTGCCCTTAGGGAAGGCTCTAAAAAAAGGAATCCCGCATTTTGTCACCATAACCTGGACTCGTGCAGGCCTATTGAAGTTCGATGTCCCAAGCAGATCGAGGAACAAGACCTCACAAGTCGAGAATTATTTAATTTGTTTTGCAGTTCCTACCTTTTAGCAGAGTTTGATATTCTTTTATTTTCGATGAAGGTTTGAAGAGTTATCTACAGCTTGCCTCAACTACATGCTCACAACAGCCCCCATAATCTCTAATGTGAGAGGGTAAACTAATTCTCAGACACCCTTTTGGGGTATGCTCTCCTTCTGGGAGAGGTAAGCTGCTTGAATATCTAGGCATGGATGGGCCTGACTACCTTGGTGTAATTGGGTGCACAACGACCTACGCCAATATTCTCGTAATTAACCATAATAGTCTTCATCAAGACTTGGCTAATTGAAGAATTTCAACCCCCTTGGCTTAATTTGTTGAGACTCGGGTCTATCTACCAGAAGAGGAGTAATGTGTTCCTGAACCTCTGCCCACGAAGATCCATACAACTGCATGCCTTCGATGTGATTGCCCACAAAGATTCATACAAATGCATGCTTTTGTTGTGACTAGTTAGCAATCTTCGTGTTCATATAAGAATTTATCAGCTGTTGACATGCTACGCAACCTATAGGTCATATGTACAACAAAATGCAGGACAACTCTTTCAGTAACTGCTTATGAATTTCTAAACAATTACACAGTTCTACTGTGGTAAGTTAGCGATTTTCATGTTTACACTAGTCCTTAACACATGCTACTAGCTCACAACCCATTGGATTGGTTAGATAAAGTGCATTGCATTCCTTGAATTATTTCCCATAATTTTTTTTTTTTTTTTTTTCGGTAAAAAAAAAAAATTATTTCCCATAAAATTCCAAACGAGTGCATACTTATGATGTGATTAGTTAGCGAATTTTGTGTCCAAATGATCTTTATTATATTGTGATTAGGCTACGCAGCTCAAAGGATCGCATACTTGAAGACCAGCTAAGCAGCATATGGTCAGGGCGAAACCGCTCACAACAAGCTCAGCTGCTTAACGCCTTAAGAAGCCAAGACTCACGACCATAGAAGTTACATGGACTCGTTTGATTACTTCAAAAGTAGTGTGCCCAATCGCTAGTCCTATTGCTAAAAGTTTGCAAGTTTTTAAGCTGGAGGTCACGACAATAGAGATTACGTGGACTCGTTTGCTTACTTCAAAAGTAGCGTGCGCAGTTGCCGGTCCTACGGTTAAAAGTTCTACAAGTTTCTAAGATGAAGCTCACAACCATAGAGTCTACGTGGACTCATTTGCTCACTTTAGAAGCAGCATGTCTAGCCGCTGACCTTATAGCTAAAAGCTTTGCAAGTTTCTAAGTTGAAACTCTAGGGCATAGAAGTGAGTTCCTGGGATCTTCTCCTTAAGTTGAAGCAGTGCGTCCAAGAAAAGTTACTAAAACATTTAACCAAAACACACGTCTAAAGTGACTTCTTGCGATCATTTGCTTCTTTTGAAGCAGCATGCCCAGCCAAGGGTCTTATGACTAAATTTTTTGCAAGAGGCTTCAAAAAAGCAAAGTTACGAAGATGAAGTAAAGCGAAGAAAACAGTTTATTAAATTTCTAGTAAATTGATAAACTGGCTCAAATGATGTTGAAGTCCAACAAAGGCTAAACAAAATGAGAAAAGTCTAAATGAAAAAGAAAAGCTTCTAAGTCAAACAAAAAGACTACTGCAGCAACTCTGATGACTCTGTTCTTCAGCCGTTAGCTCACATTCTGCACCTGCGTCGCTTTTAGACTTTTCTTTTACTGCCTCAACTGTGGCAGCACGATCCTTGACTATTCCATCAGTGACAGGCTTGAAAGAGAACTCGAGCAGGTATTTAGAAGAGATGGAAAAGGTCACGAAGTCATTTTCAGTACACTCATAGTCTAACGACCAACCCTAAAGATGACCAACATAACCAACTTATCCAAGTTGGCTTGCGGCTGAGACAAAGCACTTGTGACCTACCTTCTTCTGCTTTAGCTGATCATTCTCCTCAACCAAGCCAGTATGGGTATCCTACAGCTCCTCAAACTCATTTTTTCAGGTTTTTGCTAGTAGACAGCACACCTAGTAGCTCAATTTCCTTGGAATTAAGCTCACTAGAAACCTTCTAGAAACAACTGATCTAGTTGGAAAAAAGGATGAGTTCTTGATCCTCGGCTAAACTTATAAGAACAAAGCTCCAATTTGACTCCTAATCTTCAGCAGATTGAGGTGGATATCTTTCCGTGTAACTTTCAGCAGCTCTTTAGACACAGCGAGCTTAGCCTTCATATTTTCAACTTGTTGAAGAATTGCTTCCAATTGTGTAAAAGTACGGGTAGAAACATTGGACCCTATAAGATCGACAAGCTTAAACTCTAGTTTTCAATTTTTGTTGCAGCTAAACGAGCTTTGACTATCATTATCACCTCAGCCTATTTTGTAGCATGAACTACCTCTTGGTTAAGACACATAGCCTCAAAAACCAAGATCAAAGTCTTATCCATACAGGCAAGCAGGGAGACTCTCATGTCTTCAGCATGATGTTTTGTAAAGGAACTCGAGCATACCATCTTCCGAGTAAACAATATGGTTCTTAGGTAGGTTAGCCTAGAATAACAAACAAACCTTAGGGAACTCTCCAGGAATAATATCGGAGGATTCTTTACAACTGCTCTGGGAGCAGTTTCCTCCTTCCCAGCAAGCGGAGCAGGTGCGGCAACGGAATGAGAAGCAGGCATAGACACCTCTTTAACAAATAATTCCACATTCTCGTTCCTCATAATGGCGAGCCTCTCGGATGCCGAACCAGACTTTGGCTTATTCTCTACCTGTGACTCACGAGGAGGTAGCGAAGACCTCAGTTTTTACCCTTACTAGAAACAGGTTTGATAATGGTGATCAAATGGGTAAATGCGTCTTCCTTGATTTGCTTGATCTACTTGATCAGATGGGTAAACGCATCTTCCTTGATCTTCAAGAGAATAGGGGTAAGCAGCTTGCGTCGAGAGAATAGGGGTACTCAGCAGGAATACCTAGGGTGACGTAAACCTTCTTCATATCAGGCATGGTCTTTGGACTTGAGCCGAATTCCGAATCTACATAAGGAAAATAAAACATTCAATAATTCAAAGTCAAGAGAAGCACAGCAAGAATTCCAAGCAGACCAAGAATGGAGTAGTTCACTTACCATCAATAAATTCAGTTGGGGCGCGCAGCTCATGAGAAGAGTCGGACTCCTACTCTCCATTTATCTCCAAGATATCCCTGACCCAATCATGGTTACGTTTGCTTGAGGAGTCGAACAACTTGTGTCGAGATCTCCGCTGCCCCACGCCATCCTTTGGATCGATCTAAAAAAAGTACCAGAACTCATTGATGGTCAAGCCCAAATCAAAGAATTTGCTTAGGATCGAGAACACCACCATTACACGAACTGCATTAAGGAAGCATTGAGAATTAGTGCATTTCATGGGGTATATCACCTCTTGAAAGAAGCGCGATATGGGAAAAATAAACCTTAACACAAAATATTACGGGTTGAACTTGATGGCTTTCTTTCCTGCCTTGGCAGCCTCGGTACATGATTCGTGACTATTTCCTTACTTCACTTGTTTCACATTGACTTCAGAAGGACATGCCTGTATGCCTTAAGAAAGCCTCGAGTTAGCTCCTTAGAGCCTATGTTAACATGGGTAGCCTTGAAGTGGCCC